TTTATTTCAAAATAGTTGACAACTTATTTCCATTGACAGCTTATTTTCATTCTTCAAAGAATGTGCAGAAGATGGTAGACAGAACCTACTACACCGAAGGCTCTGAACTAACTTATCAGGAGAAAAATCATCTGGCCGCATTTTGTACTGATCTTGAGAATTACAATATCTACAATCAAACTCCTCAACATTATGGTCAATACGTGCCACTAGTGCACGTGTTGAACTACGGTAACTACCATGGAGATACCCTGGTAAGATTTTTTACTATTACGACATCCGTGCATCTTTTTGCACACTTCTAAAACTAGTACATCATTGCGAACTACGAAGTTATTACTATGTTTTTCAACAGATAATCCCGAATGATTGTGTGCCTCATCTGATGTATAGACACAGTAGCCTTCATGTTTTGAACATACAACCAGGTCTTCCTACGAATCTGAACTGTCCATACCGGGTTTCTAAAAAAAGTGGAGACATGACAATCAAAGAATGGAAAAAATGTATGGACAGTCGTAAGGAGCTTCTTGGAAGCAACAATCAGCGAAGGGCAAAAATTGGAGACAGGATGATCGCCATTCTTCATAATGGAGAGTCAGGGTCTATATTGTTTTATGCTATTCTACCTTAAGGGTGTTTAGGTCATGTCCTACCTGATACTGATGATCATGTGCTAAGAACAATTATGTAGGGTTGGGTTCGATGACTATGAGGATGATGATCATATGACTTATTATTAATAACGAGTAGAAGTTGTATGATGATGCATGATTAGTAGGACTTGTTATTATATATGATGATGTATGATGCGACCATGCATGAGTTATTATATTAGCGGGTGAAATGAACATATATAGCAGCAGCGTTGGTAAATCAAGGACGAAGATATAAGAGAGGACACTTCTCTCTATTAGCTAGCTAATAACAACCTAAAAATAACCCCCAAAACCCCTAAAGCAGCCACTTTTCTAAAAAATAAACATGGACTTTTGGTCTCGGTTGGTGCCACCAACCGGGACCAAAGGCCCCCTGACTGGGCTCGGCGCACAGGGCCACGTGGAGGCACATTGGTCCGGGTTCGTGTTTGAACCGGGACTAATGGGTGGAGGTATTAGTAACGACCCATTAGTCCTGGTTCATGAACCGGGACTAAAGGCCCTTACAAACCGGGACTATTAGGTGTTTTTCTACTAATGATATAGCTCTCCAGAGCATCTAATTAAACCATACATTGAAATTATGTAAAACATTTCAATGCAACAACAAATGCGATCATAATCGCAACTAAGGTAACAATTGATCTAACTGCATAATGATACCAAGCCTCGGTATGAATGGCATATTTTGTAATCTTTTTAATCTTCAACCGCATTGCATCCATCTTGATCTTGTGATCATCGACGACATCCGCAACATGCAACTCCAATATCATCTTCTCCTCCTCAATTTTTCTTATTTTTTCCTTCAAGTAATTTTGTTCTTCAACTAAATTTAACCTTTCGACAATAGGGTCGGTTGGAATTTCCGGTTCAACAACCTCCTAGATAAATAAAATCTATGTCACGTTGGTCGGCATAATTGTCATAAACAATAAATGAACCAAATAGTTATCAAAAGATAATATATACCACATCTGAATCATAGACAAGACGAGGACCGACGGGGGTGGATACCAAAACCATCATACTATATAATAACAAGGAATAATAAAAATAAGAAAATTAGAGAAGTATCTATCTGAAGTAAGAATATTTTTTCTTTCAGAAAGAAGATAAGAACAAGAGGCTCACCACGGTGGTGCCGGCGACGAGATCGGCACGGGCGATCGACGGCGGTGAAGACGGGGACGGGACGTGATGGACCGCTAAACCTAGACAAATCTCGGGGAAAATGGAGCTCGGATGTCGAGTTTCGAGAGGAGAAAGATTAATTAGTGTGGCTCGGAAATTTCATCGAACACCTCATGTGCATAGGAGGTGAGCTAAAGCACCCAAATGCCCTCCCCTTGCCGGCCAGAAAAACAGAGTACTGTGGAGTGCTCTGCTGCGGCGATGGAGTATATATAGGCAACTCATTTGTCCCGGTTCATGGTAAAAACCGGGACTAAAGCCCGGTAATCTGTCCCGGTTCAAGCCACAAACCGGGACCAATGATTGTTGGCCAGGAGCGAGGACCATTGGTCCCGGTTCGTGCCTAGAACCAGGACAAATGGATCCAGACGAAGCGGGACCAATGCCCCTCATGAACCGGGACTAATGCCCCCCATGGGTCCCGGTTCGTGAAGAACCGAGACTAATGGGCTGGCCAGGCCCGAACCAAAGCTCTGTTTTCTACTAGTGACATATCATTATGAACATCCTCAAGATACTAAGCCAGCACAACACCTTAAGATTAAGAAGCCATACATGGGCGTCTTCGTAGTCGATGAGGGCATCTTCTCTCACTGAACGAGCATCAATGAAAAGTCTCAAAATGAAAATGCGAGCATAAGTGTCAAGTCTATAACATAAATCCTGATGGGCTTATTCCACCACAATTAGGAACCTAACCATTGATCAGTTCGCCCAAAATTCATCATTCCGCTCTCCTATTCTGTCCCATCCGGTTTTCTATCTCAGTTTGTGCGTACTGTGTACATGGTTCATTCTCCCCATCCGACCACCATGAACAAGAAGCTGACAAGAAATAAAACTGCTCGGTGTGACATGCACCCATCGGTATTTCATAACAGTTTTATTTAAGTTTGAGAAAAATTCTATTTCTTGTCCCTCAAGTTTTCGTAAAGTCCGGATTTGGTCACTCAAATCGAAAACCATACAACTTACACCCTCAACTCTCTAATATGGACAAGTTTCGTCCCTCGGCCTAGCTAAAGTGGTTTTCATGCTGACATCATTCTGACCATAGCTGACTGAGTTGACAACCACATCATCATCTTTTTCATTTTATCCCCGCTCTCACAGCAGTGGACATTTTATCGGGAGAGGATTTAGGGCATACAAGTGTGGTGGCACGCGGATTCTATGTTGTTTATCTGCGCCAAGATGCACATATTTGGGGATGTATAAACTGATTTCTATTTTCGCTTTTATCTGTAATGTCTTCATAAATCTTTTGTATCTGTAATGTGTTCATATATCTTGGAGATATGCCTATTCGTGTGGGGTCGTATACCTATTCTGTGGGGTGCCTGAACAGTGAAAAAGGAAATAAAAAATACTTATAGAATAGATAAGGAAAAATGATTCACCATGTTCTAGTTCTGGTACTCTTATTGCTTCATATTTGTTCTTCTCTCCTGTTCACCAAACCAGAATATGCACCTTCAACAATCATCTGAGTACGCGAAAGGAAAGAGTTCATCTGGTGTCCTCAGAGATTGAAGCCTTTTGATAAGAAGCCCCACCTCGCAGTAGTATATTTGGTTAAAGCGGGGCGAAAGCCTTTTTCGGTAATATATTTGATGCAAACGAGTATAGATTCGGTCGCAAAGCTTGATTTTCAAGAACAAGCACTTAATATATGGTATAGTTGGTCATTCTGATATTTGATATTTGTATTTATTGCATCAGTGATCGTGTTGGTCATTTGTTATCTTCGAACAAATGTTCTGTCCGAAATATTGAGTATTTTCTATTTCAATTTGTTTGAACTGGAACCTTATTTGTATTTGTTTGAAGAGAAGTTGTGCTAACTAAAGAAAATCTCGCTCGACGAAACTGACAAGGAAGCGGGAAGTGTAGGTTTTGTACTCATGATGAGACAATTAAACACATCTTGTTTCAATGCAAGTTTGCATGTTCTACATGGCCCATCACCCAAACATGATGCGAACATGCTTGATTCAGGATGACTGGGACCCCTCAAAAGAAAAAAACTTAGCTTGGTTCAGGATGACAGCATTCTTGATTCCTGCAGATGACGAGGCGCAGGTGCCCCTTTCTACGAAAGAACATGAGGTGCCACGCTGCCTCTCCTGCTTCCTGTACGTAGATATGGATTAGTTTTTTGGGGCATATTTATGGATTAGTTTTTATAGGCAATATAATTATGGACTGGTGAATAATATCGTTTGGGCTTGTAAAATCGAAGGCTAATATGATCCGCTACTGGGCTTATAGGGTGGCCTATTTTGTTAACGGGCCTTGTTGCTTATTACATAAGAACTTCGTGGTCACGTTTACTGCATTTCAATTCTAAACTCAAAAACCCCTCCCCAGAAAAAGTCTACACTCAAAAAAAAAATCAGTTCAATTGTGGATCCTAATTTGTGATTCAGATATACAAAACATACATCTTTTTGCAAACAGAAACCTTGTGTAATAACATTTGGGTAAAAACTTGAACTGAGCTATATGAAGCCAAAAACAGTAATTCCCAAAACCACAATCGGGCATTTCAGCAAAACAATGGAAGCGGCTCCTCTGACGTACGGCCCCTGCCGTTGTGGCACTGCCATGTGGGCCTGTTTCCTGATGGGCTCACCTGTCCGTGGTGGAACGGCACCGTGCCGAACGGCAGAGGGTCCTCGTCCCAAAACAATAGTCTGTCCAAACCTGCTAAAGAGTGAACAGATGTTGCCTGAACAGAAGTCAGGCAGCAGTACAGTAAAAACTGCAGTACTCCCGGCAATTGTACGAAGCAATGAAGACAAATAGAGAGGTACTAGCTGAAGAGGCTTGTATCTTCTGAACTAAACCTCCGTCTAATTAGCACACCTTGTTCATGGTTAATAGTCCCAGCAACATTTGGACAGAATCATGCCGTTCTTAATTTTCCATAAAAGACACAGTGCCAAACAAAAAACCTAAAAGAACCGAGGTACATCGCATCCTTGTGACAAAAAGACTACAAATAGTATTAGGTCATTTCGTATCCATTCTGAGTAACATTCCAGACTTTTCTGAGTAACATTCTGAATAGAATTGCACTTGTCATGCATGCATGCATGCGTCGAAACCTAGCCATGTCCATGCCCTTGATTTTCTTCTCCCAAGTCAACAAGCTACAACCTTGGACAAGAGGAGATCCTTCAAAAGACCAGGGCAGTGCTTGGTTAAAAACTCAAGGCCTTCAGACTCGATGAGCGCATTCAGATTCGCTGACGAGCTGAGGAATACCAAACATGCTTTCTTAAGCCCATGGCAGTGGTGCTGCTCCGCCAATGTCACCATGGCCGCCATGGAGCTCCTATCGATATGATTGCTCAGTTTATCTTCACAAATCAGCTTCAACCTCCCCAAATCATACATGTCAGCTGCGACAAGCAAATGTTGAGCCATGTGATATTCTTCTTCTTGCTTCATATCCGGCAACGTGTCCGTATACATGAAAGTAAGCAGAGCACTGAACACCTGTGCCTCCATGTCATCTATACGTATGGCATTTTTGGTGGTGCTCTCCTCCATGGAACCAAAGAACTCTGCTTTGAAAACAGGAGAGCGCGCCGCGAGCACGTACCGGTGCGCAGAGAAAGTCTCACCGCCGACTAGGAATTCGACATCGGCGCCCGCCTTGCTTGACAGGAGATCCCCTAAGTGCTGGTGCAAGTCAGACGGCGGTACCACGATGGATGGAGTCACCTGCCCGTGGAACAAGCCTAGGACAGTGATGTCGACCTTGATAGTGAAGGAATCGTCCTTGAGATGCTCTGATTCCTCTAATTCATCCCTTTTGATGAACCTATCATATCCCCATGTTTTATTCACAGCGTAGTTGTTGGTGGTGGTACGTTCGGTGTAGGACGGCACAGGATTCCCCTGTTGGTCGAGTAAGCTGAACTTAGCTTGTGCCTTCACGGCCTCGGCCTCCGTGACGGCATCATCCAAGACGAGAAAAACGGATATGTAATCGGTATCTCCGTTCTTGTTCCCGTTGGGATAGTAACGAAGATGCCATGTGCGGCCTCCCAGCTGGAACGGGCTAGACTCGATCGACTTACCATTGGGGACCTCCTTGGTGCGCGAGTAGCTGACGATCTTGAGCAAGTGGTAACCGCACACGGCGCTAGCGACGATGGAGGAAGCGGATACGGAGGGAAGGCTGTCTCCGGCCTCGTGCGAGGAGGTAGGCATGGTGTACGGCGTGATCGATTCGGCCGGTCGGTGGCGACGGTGCGAGGGTGAGGGTTTTAGGGTTTTGGATGGACTCCGCTGCAGACATAAGGCCGCGTATATGATGCAGATCGGACGCTCATGCATGTACGTGACATAAAAGGGAAAGGGCAGTAATCTGCGCCGGTGCGCCGGCCGAACGATTCGGCCGGTCGGCTGCCCACCGTCGGATCGCTTTGCCCAGGGCCGTTAGATCACGCCCTTCTATCGCCCCGTTCCTCGCGCACGAACAACAATGACGCCCTTTCATCCCCGCGACGCTGTTCGTGCTGGACACCCACCATGGGCGCTTCGAGGCCTGACCTTAAAGCGTCACCAGCTTGCCACCGGTCGCCATCCTTGCCCCGGTCGCCATCCTCGTCACCGGCTCACCACCCTCGCCCCCGGTTGCCGGTTGCCGTCCTTGTCGCCGCCCGGTTGCCGGTCGTCGTCCTTGTCGCCGCCCGGTCGCCGGTCGTCGTCCTTGTCACCGCCCGGTCACCGTCCTCGCCCCCGGTCGCTGTCCTTGCCGCCCCCGGTTGCACATCGCCGTCCTTGTTGCCGCCCGGTCACTGTCCTCGCCCCCGGTCACCGTCCTCGCCGCCCCTGGTCGCCGGTCGCCGTCCTCGTCACCACCGGTCGTTCGCCCGGCTCCCCTGCTTGAAGCTTTTTTGTCATTTTTTTCCGGAAAAACTTCCAATCTATTCATCTTCAATCATGGCAGTAGAACAAACACCAGAAATAAAAATTACATCCAGATCCGTAGACCACCTAACGACGACTACAAGCACCGAAGCGAGCCGACGGCGCGCCACCGTCATCGCCCCTCCATCGCCGGAGGCAGACACAACTTGTTATAGTAGACAGTCGGAAAGTCGTCGTGCTATGACCCCATAGGACCAGCACCCCAAAATAGCAACCGCCGCCGATGAAAAATAACGTAGATCGGAAGGATCCAAACCGAAGACACATGAACGTAGACGAACAACGATGATGGTTGAAGCTTTTTTGTCATTACCGCTTGAAGATTTTTCTCCTGCCGGTTGAAGCTTTTCCACTGCCCATTTGAAGCTTTTTTGTCATTACCGCTTGAAGATTTTTCTCCTGCTGGTTGAAGCTTTTCCACTGCCTGTTTGAAGCTTTTTTTGTCATTACCACTTGAAGATTTTTCTCCTGTTGGTTGAAGCTTTTTCACTGCTCGTTTGAAGCTTTTTCCACCATTGAACTTTTTTCCGCGGTGGAAGATTTTTCCTCATGCCACTGTGAAACTTTTCCTCTAGCTGGATGAAGCTTTTCCACAAACGGTTGAAGCATTTTCTCCTTGGGTGGAAGCTTCTCCCCGGGTTGTAGCATCTGTCCACCCTGGTTGCAGCTTTCTGCGGCACTGGCGTTCGTAGCGGACAGTTGACTGGTTCCAGCAAAAAATGATGCCGGCTGTAGCAAAATACGTTGCCGGATGTGCAAAATCTGTTGGTCCAGCAAAAACAACTCCAAAGGAAGCATTTTTGGGTGCTACTTTCAGCAAAACATTGCACCGCTTCCAGCAAACGTGATCCGTGGTTGCAGCATCACCCCGCACACACCAATCCAAACTTGTCGTGGTGACCCCAGCAGCTCATCGGGGCGAATCCCCCAGCTCGCCGACGTTACTGGTTCCAGCAAAACCAGTACGCGATTGCAGCTCCCTCCTCAGTCGGTTGTAGCATCTGTGTGCTCCGCCGTCGTGGCTGCCGGTCAAGGTAGTAGCACGTCCCGATGATTCTCGCCGTCGGCGCTCTGAGTAGCTGAAAAAAAGTGATGGATGGGGTCGAGACCCGACGGTGGCGGCGCCCTCCGGCGATCGGCCGGCGAGGCGGTGGGGCCAGGCGAAGAGGAGGCGGGGCGCGGGGCGACGGAGCTCGGGGCACGGCTCGCGGGCACGCGCGAACTGCGTGGGAACGACGCGGGAAGGGATGGATAAGATGGACGGGCCCACATCGGGGAAGAAGTTTCTATATGTGGGTGTGTGTTGTGCGTGACGAGGCAGGAGCCCGCCGAAGTTTCGCCCGGTTTGCCGGATCTAAACATTTACCAAAGGGAAATCGTTTTGGAGAAGGAAACACGTGCCACCTCTTGACGTAAAGTAACCAAGATCTATGTTGTTCGTGCTCCGCGACGCCGGGCGTCTCCTCCATGATTTCCTCCATCGTCTCAGTTGCCCCCATCCCGCTGTGGTGCCCGACGTCCGCGCTGGAGGCTAAATGAGCTCGCATTCGAGCTTCCTGGTGAGCCACTATGCCTTCCCTCTCATTTTTCCTGTCAGTTCACATCGTGCAGCAATTGCCATGTCATCTGTGCAAGACTTTTTCTGTGTAGGGAGCTCCTGATTTATGAATCGTCATGCGAACATCACACATCTAATCTGATTTTTGCCATCATAACATATTGACATGTCTCTATTTTTTCCACGGAAAAATTTAACTTTTTGGTTTAAGTTTGGTGTTCAAATATTCACACATTATGGCAATTTTGTATAATGTAGCATGTCGATTTGTTTACATATAGTTTACAAAAACCAGGATGTGTTTTGGCATGGCAACTTAACATGTACTGCCATGTTAAGTACAAAACATGCTTAATTCTCAAAAATTCTAAAACATGGTTTGCATGGCCATGGTTTGCATGGCAATTGTCTGATTGCTATTTTCTACAAAACATGCTTAATTCTCAAAAATTCTAAAACATGGCAAACTTGCCATCCTTCAAAATATTTTGGGACCAAATGGAGAATAGCTAGTTAGAACAAATTAATAAAGAATCATTTTTAAATCACACAAAGACCAAAAGGCGCAAAAAAAAGAACAAATTTGCCATGGCAAATTTGAATATGACATCATCACAACATAAGATACATTTTTCCCAAGGCGACGTCTCTCACAATTATTCCCATGTCGCCAGAGAAACAATTTTTGCCATGCTTGTTTTGAAAATTTAACATGAACTAACTTTCTCATGGCAATTCTTGTACTTACTTCAAATTTTTTACTACATAGACCATGATACACTTTTATATGGACCATGTCAAGTTTAATTCAAGCCCATGGTAACTTAACTATGATATAGTTCACAAAACAACAATGTGTTCTTGACATGGCAACTTAACTAGTCGTGCCATGGTAAATTCTGGGACCATCGTCACCTGATGTATTTTTGTTGGGACCTTGGCAAATTAGTTTAATGAATCATGGCAAATGTAGATTATGGAGCATGGCAATTTCCAATTTATATGTACCATGACAAATTTATTCCTTTTTTACAATATGGCAAGCTTAGTGTACGTATGATGGCAAATGTAGTTTATGGAGCATGACATTTTCTAATTCTATGGACCATGGCAAAAAAAAACATTCTTCCTTCTTTTGCTACATGGCATTTTTTTCAACAGGACCATCGATAACTTAGTGTATTTATCATGGTGTTGGGAAACATAGTAGGAAACAAAAAAATTGCTCTGCGATCACCCAGGAACAATATGAAGATGCATATAAGGTTTGGATCAACAATCGATTCAAACTCCGGAGTGTAGCGAAAGTAGAGAGTCGGTGTAGATCGTACTTGCACTACTAGGGAAAACCCTAATAGTAGCGCGGGTTTTGAGGCTAGCAGCAGCGCGGGAAGCGGCGCTACTAGTAAGGCGCTACAACTAACTCTTAGTAGTAGCGCGGTCTGTACCCGCGCTACTACTATTGACTATATCAGCAGCGCTTTTCTGGAACGCGCTACTATTAGTTAGCCGTAGCGGTTTCCTAGCCCCTCGCTACTGCTATATCTTTCATCATTTTCCCCAGCTTCCTACCCCGTTTCAGTCCAGATACTAGGTACTACTAGATATCAATTTCATAAAGCATTATAGATACTAGGTAGTACTCACTAGTAGAAAAAGGGTCAAATCTGAGACACATTAGTGCCGGTTTGATTTTGAGCCGGCACTAATGTGTCCATTAGTGCCGGTTCCAACGGCTAGCCGACCGCTCTCATTAGTACCGGTTCGTGGCGAACCTTTAGCACCGGTTCGTGCCACGAACCGGTAATAAAGAGTGTGGTGGCAGGATGTTGTCAGTCTGGGCCCCCTCCAGCACATGTAGTACTGGTTCGTGGCACGAACCGGTATTAAAGGTCATCGTACATAAACCCTTCGTCCACCCAAGCTCGCTTTGTTCTTCCCCTTTCCCTTCACTTCCTTTGTTCTTCCCCTCTCTTCCTCGAGCTCATCACAAATTTTACCCAAAATTTGTCAAGATTTGAAGGCCCACATCCATTCAAATGATCACAAAGGTTAGCAACTTTGTCCTTTCATCTCTCATTGCTAGATTAGCTCTTGCAATGCTTTATATAGTGATTAATTTGTGAGTTTAGTAATTTGGGAGGAATTATATGTGCTAGTATTTGATTTATATGCAATTTGAGGTCAAAAATAACACATAGTTTGCATATGTAGGTGTGGTTTACTTAGTGCCTTCTAAATCTCCGTCGTAACCACCGTCGATCGCCGGCACCGTCCCGTCACCGGCACCACTTTGTGGTGAGGCTCTTGTTCATGAATGTTTTACATTACCAAATTGATGTTTGTGTGATTTGGATATATAGTTACTCATATAATTATCTTACCCGTATGTTGTTTGTTATAGATAGTGCCATGGTTTTGATATCCGTCCCCGTCGGCCCTCGTCCTTGTTATGATTCAGATGTGGTATATTCTCTTTTAAAACTAGTTGTTGCATTTCGTGTTTATGACAAATTATGCCCATCAAGTTGACATAGATATTTTTATCTAGGAGGTATGTAAACCGGAAATTCCAACCGACCCTATTGTCGAGAGGTTAAATTTAGTTGAAAGAGAAAATGATTATTTAAAAGAAAAATTAAAAAGAATTGAGGGGAGAAGATGGAATTGGAGTTGCATGTTGCCGATTTTATCGATGATCACAAGATCAAGATGGAGA